GAGTAGCCATAAAATTGCTTGGCTTATAATGAGTTTACAAAAATCTATGATCTCCCATAGTACTGTAAAACATGTAAGTTACCCTTATTTGGGGAGATAAGCTCCAAAATAAACATTTGCCTGAAATTTTATCTTCTTAGATTTGACCCAACATTTTACCTTGTTGCTGGCTTTTTTTTTCTTGTAATCAATCCATTTTACTTCTAATATTAGTTGGAACAATGATATTTGTGTCAGGGTCCAGTAGATAGGTAATCTTTACTACAAAAGAGCCAAGATTAATATTATACTGCCAATCTGTTGGTATGTCATTGATTAGTCAGGAAACCAGGTCACGATGTATCATACATGATGTCCATGTTTGATTTGGATGTCTTCATCTGAAACCAATATGAAAGCCATCAGAAGCTTTCAAGACATGTATAAGTGTACACAGCATTTCAAGGATGTGCTTTAAATGTAATGTGCAGAGTTCAGATAATATGTCACCTCCAAACCAAGAATGGGTTTTAAGTCTTCCCACAAGTTGTGGAATGTGAGTCTGGCAGGTTTGGAAGGTTAAGTACAGTTGGGTTAGATGAGGTTGTGTGACATGCTTTTGAGAGAATCATGCAACCCAGCCTGATGAGGCAGGTACATCTGGGTTATGGTATACAGCTGGTACTCAAGGAGTAGAGCCACTATATAGGAGAATATTGGTGATACATTCAGAAGGGTACCCAGTGTGCTTGTGTGAAGCCAGTGTCAGGTCAGGGATCTAAAGAGGAGAAACTCTTTTCAGTGCTTCCAAGAGAGTCAAGTGTCTTGAATTCTAGCTGTTCCCAGACTTGGCTTCCCCAGCTTCAGTTATACTAAGTGCACATCACAAAGGTGAGTTTTGCAAGCACTCAGGACCTCTAGGATCCTTAAAGGAAAATATCTGTTTTTCTTTTTGTAATAGGAGGGACTTGGGATTTCTTCCAGAAGGCACACTCATCTCTCTCTCTCTCTAGATATGGTTTCTCCTGAGTTCCTTCTAACACGGTGCACTGGGTCACCAGCCTTTCTTCAGAAACACTGAAGTGCATGTGTTTTAGTACTCTTGAAGTGTGTATTTAAAGCATATGGTTTATTGTGAGGCAGTAAGTGGATGTCCACTTTCTTGTCCTGTCTTTGTGGCCTATATGGCAAAAGGATTTGCTCTGATGATAGAAGAAATCGTAAGCTACTACCTCCTCATTAGGTAACCAGAGCAATGAAATCTGATTGGCCTTAATCCCCACAGACAGCGGCTGACTGGCAGCAATCCGTCTGCCTCCTGGCTATTTCTTCCTTACTTCTTCATAGCAGATGCTTAGTGAAGAACAATTTCTTTTGGACTTGTGTCTTACTAATGATAAGTTTAATAAGAAAAGAAGAGGAGGGAAACAAGGCATCAGTGATCACAAATATCTACATCTGGCAGAGGATCGAAAGGAAAACAGATCATAGCTGCCTTTGACAGTAAATGTTATTAAAATGTTCAATGTGGAATTTCTATTTTAAATAAGAAACATTGGAAAGAAATGGTCAAGATTAACAGGAGCTTAAATTGAAACCATGTTGGTTTGTAGGTAATAGAATGCTTGGAACAAATACAGCCTTCAATATAAAAGCATTCTTTACCCCCAAATTACCCATGTGGCCCTCGTTGTGCCACTGGGATTTGATTAGATTTGACTTTTGCAGGAAATCAGGAGGTAAGAAGAAACTATTTAATCTCTGGTTAAGTGGTGATCAAGCCTTGGGGTAACTCAGTTTATTAGCATGTTCAGGAGTTCAGCTTTGTTAACCCGATGCTACCCCTCCACATGTCTGCCCTTAGGCCTGCACTGCGGCCTAAAATCTATTTGCTTTAGCCATGGAGTAATAGAGTCATTATATAGTGGGCCGCCTCGTTAAGGTCCAGGATGGTATCGGTTCATTGTGTGGCTCACAGATTGTTAGTGGAGGCTCAAAATGCTCCCATCTGGCAGCTCTTCAGTCATCATTTGGTGTGTGAACAAATGGTAACTTACCCACTGAAGTAGAGCTGCTGGTTCTAATTTTCCTCATATACCCAGGAGTCTCACAGCCACTCATCACAGAACACTGCCATTCACCGCTTTAGGAGAATTTACCTTGATGCTCAGTTTATATTTTTCTCTCTCCCTTGACTTTCTCTGTCCCATGAAAAAAGAAATCTCTTTCCCTAGGAAATATCCATAGGGAAAGAATGCATGATGTATCATTGACATCAAGGGTTCTGTAGAGCTATTACAGGAGATTGATAGAAAAAACAAGAATCTATTAAAGTGTCCTTAAGAGAAGAACAACCTCTGAAAGAAAGCACATTTCCTTGGCTAATCCTACTAGAAAAAAAGTGAAGATTCCACAAAGCTCTTACTCCTGAGAATAGAATTTGTGTTTCTCTTTGATGCCATCCAGTATTCTGAACTTAGTGTCTTACCAGTTTTCCCTCCTCTGATTCTGTTCACTGGCAAGACTTCCCAGCAAATGCCTTGTGTCCATCGCCCATGTCTATTCTATCAGTGAATTTCTGAATTATGGTTCTTGTTATTGGTTATTCTCAAGTATTTTCCTCTTAACAGGCTCTCCATTTCAATAGCATGTGTAGATCTGCCAAAGTGAGCCTGGAAATGATATTCTCTTGGTTGTTTCACTCACTATTCAAACATTTTTAATATTGCTTCATTACCCATGGGATAATCTCAAAACTCCTCAGTCTTAGCATATCAGTACATGTAAAATACCAGTCTAGTTTTCCCTCTTCTTCTGCAAAGCCTCCCTAATTAAAAAGTCATTTCCAGCCCATGGTTTGGGTCTTTCAGAGTGTGAATTGTGTGGTAGCCATATTGTTATGGTTTAGATCTGGAATGATTTCCAAAAGCCTTTGTGTTCAGAGGTGGAGATTTGCCAGGTGACTGGATAATGGGCGTGCTGTCCTCACCGATGGATTAATCTACTGGTGCACTCGTGGTTGACTTGCTATTAGGAGGTGGGATCTGGTTGGAAGGGGCAGTCACTGGGGGTGACAGGGAAGGGCGCATCTCCCTCCTTGGCTCCTCCCTTCTCTCTCTGCTTCCCGGATGTCACAGTGTGAGCAGCTTTCTTATACCAGACCCTCCCACATACCCTTCCTGCCTTGGATCCAGTCAGGTGAGGACTGAATTCTCCGAAAAGCTTGAGCCAAAATAATCCTCACCTCCTTTAAGATGTGGATATCGGGTATTGTGTCCCAGTGATGGGATAGTGACAGAGACACACATTGACCCAGGACATCCCATGACCTTTGTGCCCTATTCAGCTCTCTCTGCTGAGGCCTCTCCTCCTGATTCTCTAAGGCCGACCTGAAAATCAGCATTTTTCGTGTGTTTTCTGACATACAGTTAGAGCAACTTCAAAATCCTTCCTGCCTAATGTGTGGACAACCTGCTAACTGTAGCCCCAGGTAGGAAATCTCTTACTTCAAGTCAATCCTTTTTCCCCTCCCCCTAGTACAGTAAGCCTTTGACTTGCGAATGAGTTCTGTTCTAGGAGAATGTTCGTAAGTTGGATTTGTACATAAGTCTGACAAAGTGAGTCTTACATGGTACACATGTGAATATTTTACAGTATACCTGTGAATGTTCACAACTCAATTGCTTTTAAGTCAGATTATATTTACTGTACTCTGTTGAACTCCAATTACTGGACTGGAAATTTGCCTTCCATTTCTTGCTCCCAGGAAACACAATAGATGAGCATCAAGTATTTCCCTTATCTACTCCTGTGACAGGAACTGGCCTTAACAGGTAAGAATGAAAACCAAGTCTGGAGTGGCAAGACACACCATAGGTGCCTATTTTGGCAGTGAACTTTGGATTTCAAAGTGTGGTCCTCAGATGAGCCACATTTACCTGGGACTTGTCAGGAATACAACTTCCCACCACAGACCTGCAGAGTTGTAAGTTCTGAAGGTCGGGGGTCAGCATTTAATGAGCTCCTAGTTGATTCTATTGCTTGTGAAAGTTTGAGGATTCTGTTTTCATGAAGATTAGCCGCCTCCGTATTAATTATTAGTTAATTTTTTTTGTGTGTGTGTGTGTTTGTGTGTATGTGCTTTCTTGTACTGGGAATTGAACTCATGACCTTAGGCTTCTGAGGCAGGCAACACAACCACTGAGCTAAATCCCCAGCCCCAGTTCTTTACTCTTGAATGGAGATTTCTACTTGTGCACTGGGGAAACCTTTGTGTAATTTCCAACAGGTATTTGGCAACTTTACAGTGAAAGTAGCATACAACTTAAATGGATGAAATAAGCAACAAGGCAAACACCATGTTTTCTAATATATACCATGGTCTAGCAAGAGCACAGCAAGGCTGCGGGATGCAAAATCAGCACATAAAAATCTATTTCACTTATATGAGAAACACAAAATACAAATAAACAGTGAAGTAAAAGTTAGACAATAAGAATTCGGGAGATAGATCTTTTTCATATGGAGGGGGATTGAAAGATGGAGGGAGAGGAGATAGAGGGGAGGGAAAGGGGATGAAAAAAGAACTGAGCTGTGTCACGTACATGTGTCAACTCCCACTACCAAAGTAATCATTATGTGCTGCAAAGATGCACTAATAAAAAAAATACAAAATCAATAGCAATAAAACAAAAGGAAATTAGATGACACTGTACATTTAAAATACAAAGTATCTAGGGTAAAATCTAACAAAAGACAAAAGATCTTGGTGGTTAAAATTCTAAAAATTAATCCAGAGACTAAAGACTAAATAAATATACCTATGAATTGGAAGATTCAAAAGTACAAAACAATTCCTCTTAAATTTATCTAAAATTTACTGTAATCCAATTTAAAATTATGGAACTATGCCAAGATGACTCTGAAACATGCTCATAAAAGTAATGAGGCAGCGGAGTGAAGGTCACAGTGCCCACACTGCCTGAGGAAGAGGCCAAGAAGTGAAGAAAGAGGAGTCAGTAATGGCTTTTGCTCAGGTTCTGCTGACTTTCAGGGATGTGACTGTAGAATTCTCCCAGGAGGAACAGGAATCCCTGGACTTTGCTCAGAGGGCTCTGTACAAGGAGGTGATAACAGAGAACTACAGGAACCTGGTCTCTTTGGGAATCTGTCTTCCTAACTGGAGTGTTGTCTCTATGTCAGAGCAAGGCAAGGGCCCTGGACCATGGAGAATGAATTGAAATTAGCAAAAACCCCAAGTGGGTGGGAATGTGTCACAGGTACGAGCATAGATATCTGTCCTGCACACATGATCCAGGAGTTGCCATCTACAGAGAAGAACAGCATAGGAGAAATATCCCAAAGAATGATGTTGGAAAGACATGAAATTCATTACATTCAAGTCTTTTACTTCAGCAAAATCTGGGAAAAAAATGTATGATGTTGAGTGTCAGGGAGAAATTACGAAAGAATTCACAAAGGATTACCTGTAATGCAAAGAAACGAATTCATTGGCAAAAGAAATCAATATTGTAAAAGGCCTGCAGAAAAGAAGTCTGTTGAAAATCAGCTTGAATTAAGCTGTCCATCACATCTAGCTATGATGCAGAAACTTCACACCAAAAGTAAAATTTACGAATGTAGTCAATTTGAGAAATCTAGCAATACTGGTTCTTCATTTTCACCGCTTCCAACAATCCCTGCCAGAATCAATACTAACATCTCAGAGGTACATGAGAATGATCCTCTGCAGCCTTTATTACCCACACAAGACTGGAAAGCACACAGAGAAAAACCTTACAAATGTAGTGAGTGTGGCAAGGCCTTTAATCAGGGCTTCCACCTCACCAGACATCCGATGATCTGTTCTTGAGAGAACCATATAAATGTGATGTGTGTGGCAAAGTCTTCTGTCAAAAGTCAAACTTGGCAAGTCATTGTAGAATCCATACTGGAGAGAAACCTTACAAATGCAATGAATGTGGCAAAGCTTTTAGGGTTCGTGCAAGCCTGATGAACCATCAGTTGTTCCATACTGGAGAGAAACCTTACAAATGTAGTGAATGTGGCAAAGCATGTTTTTCTAAAAAGTCGCAACTTGTGAAACATCATAGAACTCATACTGGAGAGGATCCTCACAAATGTAATGAAAGTGGTAAAGCGTTTATCCAAAATTCAAGTTTGGTGGACCATCAAAGAACTCTTTGTGAAGAGAAACCATATCAATGTTATGAGTGTGGTAAAGCCTTTTGTATATGTTCAAGCCTAATTAACCACTTGATAATTCATGCTGGAGAGAAACCTTACAAATGTAATGACTGTGGGAAGGCTTTTATTAATTGTTAAAACTTAAGGGTCATGAGAGTATTCATTCTGGAGAAAAGCCATACAGACGTAATGAATGTGACAAAGCCTTTAGGCAGTGGTCTGACATCAAGATCCATCTAAGAATTCATGCTAGAGAAAACCTTATAAATGCAATGAGTGTGGCAAAGCCTTTATTCAAATTTCCCATCTCAGTAAACACTAGATAATCCCTACTGGAGAGAAACCATACAAATGTGATCTGTGCAGGAAAGTCTTTAGTTAATATTGCCATCTTTCAAGCCATCAAAGAATTCATAGTGGAGAGAAACCGTATTGGTGCAATGTGGCAAGGTCTTCAGTCAAAATTCACAACTTGTGAATCATCTTAGAATTGGCCCTAGAGAGAATCCTTGTAAATGTAATGAGTGTGCCAAAGCCTTTAATGTGCTTTGATGCCTAACAAAACATCAGGTAATTGATACAATTCATAGTGGAGATAGCCTACCAGTGTAAAGAGTGTGGTAAGGTTTTTAACAGGTGTTTACACCCCCAACTTCATGAGAAAATTCATACTGGAGAGAAGCCATATAAGTGCATTGAATTTGGCAAGATGTTTAGGCAGTGATCTGACCACAGCTTTCACTGAAGAATTCATTCTGGAGGGAAAAGTTACAGATACAACAAATCTTGTAAAACCTTTACTTGGGCATCACAGATCACTAATAATCAAATAGTCCATACTAGAGAGAGCCTTATAAATGCACTGAACATAGAAGAGCTCTTAAGTGTGGCATTAAACTCAAGGTTCACTAGGTACAAATGTCAATGAATATATCAAAGTTTTAAAGTTGTGCTCACTACTCACTAGGTATAAGAATATACATCTTGGAGAGAAATCAGTAAAATGCAGTGTGTGTGTAGAAAAGATTTTACCCCAACATCAAAATTTGAGGAATGCCATAGAATTTTTACTGGAGATAAGCCTTGTAAATGCAATGACCAACAAAACCTCCACTATGAATAGTGTGCTATATTATATTAGGGAGTCTGTATTAAAGAGAAACTATATTTTTAAAAAGTAAAGAGGCAAGAATATGCAATGCACTCTTTGGAAAAACAACTATAAGGCTCTTAGAACTACAGAAATTAAGGCAATGTAGTTTGCTGTAGGATAAAAAATGGACCTGAAATATGAAATATATGAGGGAGGGAGAAAGGGAGAGAGAGAGAGGAGGGAGAGAGAAGGCGGGCTAGGAAAACTGACTCTCCTCATGGAGAAAGGGAAATAAAAAGCTTTCAAATCTGTATCATTCACAAAAATAAATCCCTGGTAAGTAGATTAAAGATCTAATGTGAAAGATAGGCAGTAATGTTTGTAGATAATAATGTGGGGAATATCTTTGTTACTACTGCTTAAAGGCAAATTTTTATAACAAGATAAAATTATACTGTTTATATTATTTTAGGTAGAGCTTTTGTGGTAATGACATTTTAATGGATCACAGCTAAAGAGTTTCATTTTTTCCTGTAACAATGAAGAGACAGTATTTGGGTCAGCAAAAAGGCTTTTCCTCCAATAGCCATTCATGGACATAAGTTGAAGTCTGTGCTTCTTTCTTGAGCATATAGCTCTCTAACGATATCCTGGATAGGGCTATCAGAGGCCATTAGAAGAATAAGCAAAGAGCACAGAAGTCCATATAGAAGATTTTCATGAGTCAGGCCTGAGAAAGGCCCTCATGAGCTCCATTACCTGCTGGAGGGGACTTATTCATGGGGCCCGGGAAATTGTGGTGTATCTCTGCTCCCAAAGACAGATTTTGTTGATTAGTGATTTCTACCATATTATTAATAAAATGGACACATGTGTTTACATAAAATGGTCAAAAGATAAAAGGAGTTAAAAAAAAAAAAAGAGCCAGAATGCTGGCCATTGAAGAATTTGGCTACTGATTTTTTTTTTAAATGAGACAGTGTCTCACTATGTCATTGAGACTGACCTGGAGCTCACTATGTAGTCCAGGACGGTGTCAAACTCACAGCAATTCTCCTGCCTCGGCCTCCCGAGTGCTGGGATTACAGGCGTGCACCACCGTGCCCGGCCATTGAAGAATTTGGAATGCACCTCTCCAGGTAGAGGGACTGGTGTACCATTAGTTATGCACACAAAATACCTCCACTCCACTTCCTTGATTTTGGGTTATTATATGCAAAAATGGAAAAGCAGAGAGGCATACACTATTGCTTCTTCTTTGATCACCCCATCTCATCTCAGGAAATTCAGGGGCTTTTAACTGAGATGGATGTAATGTTGTAATGCTGAGTAACATAGAATACAAATGACATTTAATAGGCTTAATATTTTCTGATTATTGATGTTTGATTTCTTCATTTTAATAGCAATAGTCTTTCTTACAGAGCTCCTTTAAAAATAGTGGTAACTAATAATTCTTATAGGACATCGATGTCCAAACATTTAGTTGCTGATAAACCAGAATTTCCATTTGAAGTTGAGAAGGCCATAACTACTAAGTCCTTTAGTCTTCTTTTATTTCAAGAAATCCCTCTACTAGGTCCTTATTCCTGTGCATGTGCTTTTTTCCTAGGCAATTATATTGTGCTTGGATGTATTTTATTGCTGGTGGAATGTGATTTTTATGCAGAGCTCAGGAGTAAAGATGGACTTGCCTACCCTCTGGGCTTAGCAAATGATGACCCAGGCAGGTCAGTATAAGCTAAATTTAGCATTCCAAAATTGCCAAGTTCTACCCAGGGAAACCAGACTCACTCAACACACCTAAGAGGCATGAATAAATCTGGGATTAGAAGGTGAAACTCAGAGTTGAGTGTCAGCCAAAAAGACAGAAATAGATCTGGGAATAAATTGAAGAAGGTTTGAGTGATACTATGAATAGAATGCGTGCCTTTATTGGAAGAAAGCTGTGCAGAAGCGTGACTTTTGATATTATCACAAAGGTAAAGGTCAGAGAACACTTCCAGGAAAATGGCATTAGTGGAATATAATTACTCTGATTGGAATAGCAGAAAGCTATTGCAAAAATGTAGCCTAGTGATGTTGGCATGTGTGGATGGAGAACTAAGAGCTGAGAGCTTGGAGGAGGCCTTCAACTATAGATTTACTGACGGACACGAGAGAGGGAGACAAGGAGAATTCCCTTAGCTGAGTTGAAATGGACCGAGAGAAGACTATCAGAAGTGTCTGACGGAAAGTAGGGCTTGGATTTTGGATACTCTGAGTTTAAGATGTCCGAATAACTTCCAAGTGGTCGTGTTTCCTTCAGCAGGAGGCTCAGGAAACAGCAGCTGTGGTCAGCTTTTTACTCTACAAAATAATTGGCTCATTGTTTTCGGAAGTATCTAGGCAAAGCAAAACCAAAAAACTACAGTGGATTGGAACAGACTAAGAAGTCAAGACGACAGAATGCAAAGGAACATCCTGGATTGGATCAAAGACTAAAAATTCAAGAGCAGTGGAATAACTGGTAAAATTCACATGATGTCAATAAATCACTTAATACAATTCTATCAAGGTTAATTTCCATGTTTTGAGAATTATATATACCAGGAGGATATAATGTGTTAGCAGTGAAGAAACTGAGTGAAGGGTAGATGAGAATTCTGTATTATTTTTCAACTTTTCAGAAGGCTAAACTATTTCAAAGTGAAGAAGTTATAGGGAAGGGGATGCAAAAAGAATTATTGCCACATGTGTATGTACCAATTCCCCCAGAGAAAGGTACTTGTTATAACATGTACTAGTAAAAAGCAAAATAAAGAGGTTGTATGTTTGCATTTTTCTAATGAATAATAACATTCCTCATCTTTTCATATGTTCATTGGCCATTTGGATTTATTTTAGAATCTAAGTCCTCTGCCTATACTTTAATTGGATTGTTTGGCTTTTTATTTATATCCCAATAAAATTATTTAATTTTTTTTTTAAAAAAAGTGGCAGCTTTTGGAACGGTCTCCGCTGATGTCCCTTGCTGAAGACAGAGGCTCATCCTTCTTGCCCACTGTGGTGGGTGCAGCGTCTCTCCTGTTCCTGTGAGTGGCCCTCGTAGCAGCCGCACTTAGTGTTTTGCCCATGTCCTCTCAGCACTCACCACTGCAAAGGCTGCTTGGCTGACATCCATGACTCTCCTGGGGCTTCTTCTGGCTTCAGGTGAATGCCGGGCTCCTGACCAGGGCAATCCAGAAATGCCAGAGATTTAATGCTGTAGCAACAGCTCTCAAAAAATGACAAACAGAGGGCTGTGTATAAATAACCAGATTCCTTGCTTGTTGGATGGAGTAATCCTGTGGAATGAATTTCGCATTGTCTCCAAAGAGTTTCTGGTTGGATTAAGCTCCAGACGCCTAGTGCTAATTGCCTGATGATGTAATACTTCCTTCCTTTCTTTTCCTCCCTCACCTCTCTACCTCAGCAATGTTTTCTAAGGCACTCCCCATAGTCACTTGTTTCTGGGGACTTAAACCTGAGAAAGTCCTCAAAAAGTGAATGCATAAATGCCTGCTTTTGTACTTAAACAGCTCCCTCTGAAAGTCACGAGAAGTTCTATTGCTTGATAGCGTTATAGCCCTTCCATTGCAAATTCAATCAGAGTGCTTCTAAATCCTATCTCTTATAAGGAAAAGATGCAATAATGTATGTAATGTCTAAATAATGGTCACAGTAAGAATACTACACACTTGTTGGTGGAGCATTTTTGAGTAAGCTGTAGAAAACATTTTTTGATGTCGTCCTGAGCTCTGCCAAAGGGGAGTGATGAAGGCACTTGTCCCCTTTTATAATTTTTTATGTATTTATATTGTATTTATAATTTCTTTATATTGTTAAAAAAATTTTTTGAGTCAGGGTCTTGCTATATAGTTCAGGCTGGCCTTGAACTCATCTGTGTAGCCAGGGCTGGCTTGGAACACATAGTGATCCTCGTGCCATCCCACCTGGACGAACATGTTGTATGAAGTTCTACCGTGAAGGGAAAACAGAATATGGCATTGGAGTCCGAAAAGTT